CGAAAGCACTTCTTGTCCCGATAATAGTATAGAAGCACAATGGCAAAGAACTGCACACTCCCTACAAACCGCAGCAAAAGCAACACTTGGGCACCCAAAACCAATGCTACTGATGCGAAGAATGCATAGGGCAATCCTGCAGACAGTAGCAACACGTAATGCGATGGAAAATTATCGGGAGAAAACAGGAGAGGGGAAACGTATTTTCAGAAAAAAGAAGAAAGAACAAGAAAAACGTGATGGTGAGCATATCGAGATGTACAGGATTCAGAATGAAGTCCGGAAATTTTACCAACGAGTAAAGCACCAAACCGAAGGCTTTGGAAAGGAAAGGAAACCTGGTGACAAATACAGACAGCGTGTTGTGGATCTAGCGAAGATGAGGTCAGAATATCAATTAATCGGCTGAAGAACAATAAAGTAGCAGGGGTCTATGGGTTGCCAGCCGAACTATTCCAGACTGGTTTCCAGATGCAGGTCAGGAACAGCCACCTTTGAACAAATTGAGAAGGAGTCTGCTAAAGTGGGTCTGGCAGTAAACGACGAGAAGAACAAGCTGATGGTATCATCGCGGAAGGCGTCCAGTAAACTCGGACCAACTGTGGAACTTGAGAACTACAGCTTCGAGGTAGTTACATATGTTATATACCTTGGAACGCCATAAATAAAACGAATGACATCAGTTTTGAAATTCAGAGAAGGATTGTGATGGCCAACAGATGCTACTATGGTCTAAGTAAGCAGTTTAGAAACAAGGCCATCTCCCGCCAGGCCAAAATTACACTTTACAAGACGCTGATACTACCCTGTTATATGGATCCGAAGCATGGATAATTGCGCAAGCAGATGAGGCAGCTCTTGGGGTGTTTGAGAGAAAAATTCTCCGAAAGATATACGGGCCGATCTGCGTCGAATGAGAATGCCATAACGTAACTTATATTTCGGTAAGTTGGTCCAAAACCCATCTTGTGGCCACACAAATCTATAATATCCTTACAGCGTAGTTGTGTCGGGTATAACAATGATACCAAAAGTAATGTAACAATATTTCCTATCTTCGAATTGACTTTGGATAGAATATTACGATGTGCGAAATTTGAATATAGTCAATTACTTCCTTCATGAATTTTTGACTTACAACCGAACAGACATTTCTAAAAGGAGTCTGAGTCCTTATAAATGCAAGTGTTGCGTTTTCTGTTAAATCTTCTAAGACATTTTGTTGGTTAATAGTTTTTATCACGTTTGGATTTTTTAAGACAAGATAAAGCGAAATATTGTTTTTTCAAAAATGTTCTCAGGAAATTCCCTCTTTGTCCTACCATTTATTTAATTTAATAGTTTCCAATGATGGGTGGCGTAGGGGATGATGATACCAAGCAACGGCTCTGATTGGCTTTAACATGGCGAAGCCCAGGCTTATCTTGGTCCCTCTTTCATCTCAATTGTGGACACTGACCTCCCCGCGGTGCCACCTGGGGAGCTATTATCATCACCCGATGAAATAGTGAGCTAACATGTGCCGCGAGTTCACCCATAAGAACTATAAAAAAATGGGTTGAGGCGTCGGGTTAGTTGCCCACCCTCGGAAAACCCAACATACTATGAAAAAGCAAAGAAAAAGAAACCCAAACCCCCCTAATGTTGCCGAGCCCCGCAAACGTATAAAGGACCACGATCTGCGAATCTGCACTTGGAATGTGCGCACGTTGTACAGAACAGGCACAGTTTTCTCTTTGGCGGATGTACTCAAGAAGTACAAAGCCGATATTATTGCCTTACAGGAAATGCGATGGAAAGGAACATGCGTAAGTAAATCAGACGATTACACCCTGTATTATAGCTGCCATGAAACGAGACATGAATTTGGCTGCGGATTTATGGTTAACAGGAGAATAAAAGACCTTGTCTCCAGATTCACTCCAGTAGATGAGCGAATTGCTATAATCCGTATAAAAGCGAAGTTCTTTTACATCAGTCTAATTTGCGCCCATGCTCCGACCGAAGAAAAAGATGAACAGACCAAAGACATATTTTACGAGCGCCTAGAAACAGCCTATGACCGTTGCCCTGGCCATGACATTAAAATTCTGCTAGGAGATTTTAATGCAAAAATCGGAAGGGAAAATATCTTTGGCCCCACCGTCGGAAAATTCAGCCTTCATGAAGAAACATCCGACAACGGCATGAGGTTGATTGACTTCGCGGCAGCAAAAAACATGGTAGTTAGCAGCACCAGATTCAAGCATCTCGATATACACAAGGCCACCTGGATTTCTCCTGATCAAGTAACGAGAAATCAAATTGATCATGTTGTAATAGACAGAAGGCATTCATCCAGTGTTTTAGACGTACGATCGATCCGAGGAGCGAATATCGATTCGGACCATTACCTTGTGGCAGCCAAGGTACGCACCCGTCTTAATGTTGCAGCAAAGGTGCGATCTAATACAACACGGAAACTCGACGTCGAAAAGCTGCAAACACAACATGTAGCCGAGACCTACTCCGCTCAACTTACCCATCTGCTTGAAGAAAGCACTTCTTGTCCCGGTAATAGTATAGAAGCACAATGGCAAAGAATTGCCCACTCCCTACAAACTGCAGCAAAAAGAACAATTGGGTACCAAAAACCACCACCAAGAAACCCATGGTACGATCAGGAGTGTCGTAATGCTACTGATGTGAAAAACGCAGCGTATAGGGCAACCCTGCAGACAGTAGCAACACGTAACGTGATGGAGAATTATCGGGAGAAAAGGAGAGAGGAGAAACGTGTTTTCAGAAAAAAGAAGAAAGAACAAGAAAAACGTGAGCGTGAGCAAATCGAGATGTACAGGAGTCAGAATGAAGTCCGGAAATTTTACCAACGAGTAAAACACCAAACCGAAGGCTTTGGTGCAGGCACATCCTCCTGTAGAGCTGAAGAAGGAAACCGGGTGACAGATACAGACAGCGTGTTGAGGATCTGGAAGGAGCACGTCGAAAAGCTACTAGTATCAAATAGTGGCGATGAAGAAGATACCCCAGAACCAATAAGAGATGATGGTATAGAGTGTATACCACCTAGCCAAGATGAGGTCATAAAAGCAATTAATCGGCTCAAGAACAACAAAGCAGCAGGAGCCGATGGGTTACCAGCCGAACTATTCAAGACTGGTGGCCAGATGCTGGTCAGGAGCATGCACCAGCTGATTAACACAATTTGGCTAGATGAATGCATGCCCAATGATTGGAACCTCAGCATCCTGTGTCCCGTGCACAAAAAAGGAGACAAGACGATATGTGCCAACTATAGAGGAATAAGTCTCCTTCCCATCGCATATAAAGTGCTATCCAGTGTGCTGTGTGAACGATTGAAGCCAATGGTCAATGACATCATCGGACCATACCAATGCGGCTTCAGACCTGGCAAATCCACCATTGACCAGATTTTCACTCTGCGCCAAATCCTGGAAAAGACCCACGAAAAACACATCGACACATACCACCTATTTGTCGACTATAAAGCCGCATTCGACAGCCCTATTCGTTCAGAGGTGTTTAAAGCCATGTCTGCGTTCGGCATTCCTGCAAAATTAATACGGCTATGCAGGATAACTTTAAGTGGCACAAGGTCAGCCGTTAAAGTAGGAAAGGACCTATCGGAGCCCTTCAATACCGAACGAGGACTCAGACAAGGTGAAAGTTTGTCGTGTGATCTTTTTAACATCCTACTGGAAAAGGTCATACGAGACGCAAAGGTGAACAGAAATGGCACTCTGTACACCAAACAACATCAGTTACTCGCCTACGCCGATGACATCGATATAATGGGTCGAAAATTGCGAGCGGTAACAGCCACCTTTGAACAAATTGAAAAGGAGTCTGCCAAAGTGGGTCTGGCAGTAAACGGCGAGAAGACCAAGCTGATGGTATCAACGCGCAAGACGTCCAGTAGACTCGGACCAACTGTGGAACTTGAGAACTACAGCTTCGAGGTAGTTAAAGACTTTATATACCTTGGTACCGCCATAAATAAAACGAATAATATCAGTTTTGAAATTCGGAGAAGGATTGTGATGGCCAACAGATGCTACTATGGTCTAAGTAAGCAGTTTAGAAACAAGGCCACCTCTCGCCAGCCCAAACTCACACTTTACAGGACGCTGATACTACCCGTGCTATTATATGGATCAGAAGCATGGGTACTTGCGCAAGCAGATGAGGCAGCGCTTGGGGTGTTTGAGAGAAAAATTCTCCGAAAGATCTACGGGCCGATCTGCGTCGACGGTGAATATCGGCGTCGAATGAACCACGAGCTCTACAATTTATACGCGGACATCGACATAGTCAGTCGTATTGAGCTGCAGCGACTACGGTGGCTAGGCCATGTTGTGCGGATGAATGAAGATGCCCCAGCTCAAAAGGCATATAAAAATGAGCCTACTGATGGTTCCCGTAGAAGGGGAAGGCCACGAATTAGATGGAAAGACCAAGTAGAAAACAACATCTTGGAACGTGGTCTTCCAAATTGGTGGACTTGCGCATAAGACCGACGCGCTTGGAAATCTTTTTTAAGCTCGGCTTATGGAACAACCGTTCTGTAACAAGCCAGCTAAGTATGTAAGTTTCCAATGATTTTTTTAACTCAAAAACTCTTTAATTTGATATTCCAAACATTCTAACTAATACTACTTCACAAAATAGAACAAAATATTAAGCGCCTCAAAGTATGCTACATTTTTAATTTACATTAGAAGTCCTCCAATAAGAAAAGTCTGTTCTATGAATTTGCTTCTCGTAACCGAACACAAATATTCGGCTGTATATTTGTCAGGCCGAATCCAGACGAACACGTTTGAATACGTTCTTTCGAATTATCAAACAGTTTTGTTGGAATAAGTTGTTTTCATACATGTATTTGTATGTTAACAAAAAAAATCAAATAAAAATGTCAAAATATAATTATTAAAAAAATTAGAACAAAAACGAGACTTCAAAAGGATACAAATAATAATAATGGGCGCTGGAAATTCAACACCACAAACCGCACGCATAGAAAATCCGAAAAGAGGTATACCCATAGAAGTTACACCATCGGTGGTAATGCGTTTGGAAAATTCCAAAAAACAACAAGAAAACGAAAAGATTGAAGAGAAAGATGAAAAGCAAGAAACCGAATCAGAAGCTACAAAGATGACTACAAGACCACAGAATAGAATGCCACCTGAAACCCCAAATGAACACCCCGAATCGAAAGGAGTTCGAAGCATACCCAACATTTGGTCTGAAGGACCACAAGAAGACATGTATCGTCGAAAATACAATGAACACGAAGAATATCAATTCGACAAAACATTTGAAAAATTAGAAAATATTCTTGGAAAACCTATAGCATGGCGTGAAGATATTGAAGGTGAAATCTTAGGGCTGCGCAAAGATCTTATAAAATGTTATAGTGATAATCCAGGACAAACTCTGCATTGTTCCCAGATTGCCAGGAAATATCAAGATTTTATATTTGATCAACAATACAAAAGTATTTTGAAAGTAACAAATGGTAATGAGGAGGAATCTGTTACTATGTCAGGTGAACCGCAATCGACACCACCTCCACCATATCAACATTCACCACCGTATGTTTAATTTTATTATTACTTGCTTTAATTTTATATTAATTTTAATATAATCAAGTTACTTATTATAAATAATAGAAACCTGTGTTTAATGATTATAATAGAACAGTGGCATGGTACAATAATTCAATGTAACACAATTTGAGTTGAACAACAAAAAGCAACTATATAGGTACTAAAAACGCTAAACATTATTGAAAGATTATGATTTCTCCCCATAACAAAGTAATTATTTCAAGACGAACGCGATAAGGAGACACATTCGTTATATTAATAGGTTAACCCGGTAAAATGTAATGTAAATGCCGTTTTAGAATCAATCTTCGGATGTAATGTATGTTAGGTAAAATATTACCATAAAATCTGATACTCCATTAGCTTCATATGAACCCTTACAAATTGTTGACCCATCTTCGGATTTTACATAGGTTTGGTAAAAACATTTCCATGTGCTATCAATGGATAAATTGAGTGCCATATTCTATTTGCACCCTATTCCATTGAGGAGAACATAAGATTTACTAACCACTTCTCTTGAAGTTTTGGTATCTCGAAGAGCCACGTGGCTTTCATAGTTGGGCTGTCCTAACCTATATTAGATAAAGTCTCCCGAATTTTACCCAGTTAGTCTTGGACTTGTTTCGGAAGAATATTGGTTTCGGTATTAGCCGTACTATTTTAAACCTAATATATTTATCGGCGGTGAAGGCTCAGTCAAATAAATTTGACAGTCTCCTCAGATTTCGTGTAGGCTACGCCTCCTCGTATGGGGGTGGCTTAGGGGATGATAGATACCAAGGAACGGCTCTGATTGGCTTTAACATGGCGAAGTCCAGGCTTATCTTGGTCCCTCTTTCATCTCAATTGTGGACACTGACCTCCCCGCGGTGCCACCTGGGGAGCTATTTTCATCACCCGATGAAATAGTGAGCTAATATATGCCGCGAGTTCACCCATAAAAACTATAAAAAATGGGTTGAGGCGTCGGGCTAGTTGCCCACACGCGGAAAACCCCTCCTACTATGAAAAAGCAAAGAAAACCAAACCCCATAATGTTGACGACCCCCGCAAACGTATAAAGGATCACGATCTGCGAATCTACACTTGGAATGTGCACACGTTGTACAGAACAGGCGCAGTGTTCGCTTTGGCGGATGCACGCAAGAAGTACAAAGCCGATATTATTGCCTTACAGGAAATGCGATGGAAAAGGAACAGGCGTATGTAAATCAGACGATTACGCACTGTATTATAGCTGCCATGAAACGAGACATGAATTTGGCTGCGGATTTATGGTCAACAGGAGAATAAAATACGTCGTCTCCAGATTCACTCCAGAAGATGAGCGAATTGCTATAACCGGCATAAAAGCGAAGTTCTTCTACATCAGTCTTATTTGCGCCCATGCTCCGACCGAAGACAAAGATGAGCAGACCAAAGACATATTTTACGAGCGCCTAGAAACAGCATATGATCGCTGCCCTGGCCATGACATTAAAATTCTGCTAGGAGATTTTAATGCAAAAATTGGAAGGGAAAATAACTTTGGTCCCACTGTCGGAAAATTCACCCTCCACGAAGAAACATCAGACAACGGCATGAGGTTGATTGATATACACAAGGCAACTTGGATTTCTCCCGATCGAATAACGAGAAATCAAATCGATCATGTTGTGATAGACGGAAGGCATTCATCCAGTGTTTTAGACGTTCGATCGATCCGAGGAGCGAATATCGATTCGGACCATTACAGCCAAGATTCGCTCCCATCTTAATGTAGCAGCAATGGTGCGATCTAATGCAACACGGAAACTCGACGTCGAAAAGCTGCAAACACAACAGGCAGCCTAGGCCTTCTCCGTTCAACTTACCCATCTGCTTGACGAAAGCACTTCTTGTCCCGATAATAGTATAGAAGCACAATGGCAAAGAATTGTCCAATCCCTACAAACTGCAGCAAAAGCAACACTTGTCGTAATGCCACTGATGTGAAATACGCAGCGTATAGGGCAGCGCTGCATCGACATCGTGACCTTCTCCTTCTGCGTGAACCATCAGTAAGTTCGTTTTTATATGCCTTTTGAGCCGGGGAATCCTTATCCATTCGCACAACATGACCTAGCCAACGTAGTCGCTGCAGAACGTTCAGTCGTATCGAGCTGCAGTAGTTTCCGAGTTCCACAGTTGGTCCGAGGCTACTGAACGTCTTGTGTGTCGGTACCATCAGCTTGGTCTTCTCGCCATTTACTGCCAGACCCACTTTGGCAGACTCCTTCTCAATATGTTCGACCCATTATATCGATGTAATCGGCGTAGGCGAGTAACATGTCTTGTTAGGCTTGCCATTTCTGCTCACCTTTTTCTCTCGTATGACCTTTCAAGCAGGATGTTACAAAAAATCACTCGACAAACTGTCACTTCGTCCGAATCCTCGTTCGGTATTGAAGGGTTCCGAGAGGTCCTTTCCGACTTTAACTGTCTGTTAAAGTTATCATGCCTTGTGCCACTTAAAGTTATCCTGCATAGCCGTATGAATTTTGCAGGAATGCCGTGCGCAGACATGGGCTTAAACCCCCTTATTAATTATATGAAAAAAATAATAATTAAAATTACAAATCTGTATAATTTGTTATCCTCACTTGCTAAATTTGTCTTACTCAGCTGATTATTAATTTTTTTTTATTTATTTGTGGTACAAAATATTCAGCCATGATTCCTTTTTAGTGTACGCGAGTCAACTAAGAGGCATGCTCAACAAAAGTTAAGTAAGAGCTCACAAAAGTAAGCAAAAGCATGTTTTTATGCATATGAAAATGAGAACAATCTCATCCAACTTCAATTTCTAAGTTCAAACTGAGCAAGACGAGATCAAACGTGAGCAGTGAGTAAAAGCAAATACATAACATTTTATTATGCATACGACAATGACCTTTTACTCAAAAAATCGAGTCCGAGCTCAAGCTCACGTTTTATGCATGAGACCCATTAAATCAATGTTTTCAAAATGCATTTTATAAATTTTTATTGGGCGCCAGATGTTATACAACATATGTCGACGCCTGTTATTTATGATTTCAAATTCTAGCCTGATTTGAATTTATATATCCACTAATGCGTACTAATGCCATTGTGCTTCATATCAAATTTTTTAACAGCGTAGTCTAGTAGTTCCTTCTAAAGGTGCAAGTTAAATTGGTTTTTTCCATTTGATTTTCTTATTTGAAAGTTTCATACAAGCAACGGACATTTTTCCACTAATTTTCAAACTACAATATTTGAAAACAAACCACACAAATACACAACGCATTTCAAACTACACAAAAGCTTTATTTCCGCACAAAAAAGCTTACAGTGATTAATTTTTCAGATTTTTTTTCAAGTTCGTTGAATACTTGTCATGTTATTATTATTAGTGCGAATTTTGTTCTTGGCATAGCAAAGACGCGGAATTATTCCATATTACTGCCGTAGTAATTCTTTAACAATAATGTGACAAATAGCAACAAAGCAAGCGAAAGAAATTCAATCACTTGAAGAGTACAAAAGAAAGAATTTATAACAATTTATTTAAATATACAAAATAATTGTAAGTTCTATAAAAAAAGAAAATTAAACAAATGCAATTTGTATCTGCAAAAAAGAATACAAAAATCACATGAAAACCAAATACAAATCGGTTGACATGCAATTCTAATAATTGAATAACAAAAAAATGAATGGAAATATTATCTAACATCTGTTCTGGCGACGCGTTGAAATTTCCATAATGACCAAAAACCACGACAATAACAAAAACCATACGTCTAGTTCAGTAAAAATGAAAATAATGATACAATTTTTGCAATCAATAGAATCATCTAGTCTGGCAGTCAGCCCCCCCGGTATCATCAATCATTTATTGTTGTGTGTAAACTCCCACTGCCGCGCTGCTGTTGGCAACCTCCTGCTTAAATGTAAACACGACAACAACAACACAACCAGACAAAATTACAACAACAAGTTCTTACAACGACGCTCTTTTTTCTGATAAAAAAACTTTTACGGAAATTTTTCTGCTTTCATTCTTGTTATGCGTGTTTGGCGTGCTAGTGCGGGTGTTTGTGTGCTCTGAATCAAACAGCTGATGTCACATGTGCGCTTGGTACAAAAGTCAACGGCTCTCCGATGACGTATTTTTGGCACAAATGTTGCTAATGTGTAATTTTTAGTAAAAGCGTTAGAACGAGAAATATCGCAAGTGTATGAGAAGAAATTACTAATAATTGAATGTACAGCTAGGGCTTGTGGAGGTGATAGGGAAAATAAATTGTGGTATAAATAGGATGACCTTTTAAACGCTACTTGTAAATACAGTGGTTGTCATATAAATAAATCTTCACCTGCATTAAATATTTTTCGATTAGAGATCGATTACTTTGGTGTATTTTTAGTTTTTTTTTTTTATTTTCAAAACCCTTAGATCACTCTATTAACCCTTTGAGCCCCGAATTTCGAATACGAAGCGATTTAAATAATTAGTACTGTACACATTTCTACACTACTATATATTGAAAATCGCATAACTTGACCAAAAAATTCGGAAAATTACTCTTAACCCTTTGTGGCCCAATGTTGCCCACAAGCAACAAAATGTTTTAGAGCTTATATTTAATATGCAGCTATGATATATCACGAATTCCACGAAAACGTCAACCACATAAGTGAAAAATCAATTCTTTAACCCTTTGTGGCGTAATCTTGCCCACAGGCAACAACATTTTTTAGAGCTTATATTTATTACACAGGTAGTAAATATATATTTTTTTGGAATACATATGTCAAGACCTAATTATGGACAACAAATATCAAAAGAAGAATCTAAAAAAATCAAATTTTTGCTTAAGTTATGAGCTTTTCAATATAGAGAAGAGGGCAAAAATTGTACAGTACCAAATTTCGTATACAGTCCAAATTATTTAAATCGTTTCGTATTCGAATTGTACGAATTGCACCATCAAAATTATTTTTGAT